CCTAGGAATGGTTTCCTGGGAACTCCTTCCTGGGAAACCCGTGTTTATAGCAAGTGAGTGTCGAAGATAAAGTATCAAAAACGCTATTGCCTATTATCGGTCACGTGCTATCTATCTAATGTCACGATGCAGGAAGGCTTGATTGATTGGATTAATATACAAGACGTTGCACGAGGTTTGGAAGGTGCGGCAAGCTCAACGGGAAGAAAACCCTTCATGTGGAGCACGTGACCCCGGAACAACAGAAGATCCGAACGCCGAGGAACATCAAGTTTAAACCGTGACATCTAACCGCAGGCTGCAGTATCACAGTGCTTCACTTTAATAAGAGTTCCCTAGAGCGGCTGCGTGCAAACGGAAGCGTCGCAAAATACGAAAAAACCCTAAGGATGATCAGCGTTTAGTTGAAAGGTCGCTAGGTATAATTTACGAACGACTACTTACAAGGTCCTTTCCAGGCGAGTCCTTGCAATCACTATCAAGCGGAGCCCAACGCTGCACAGCCTCAAGCGTGGTAGTCGCATTGCGATTAAATGCCAAGACCGCATTGGGCGCCTTCTTGCGGAACAACTGGAGAATATCTACACGGGCAGTATTAGCACGCTCCTACATGAACAGACTGCGAACGAGAATCATCTACTTACTCTCGAAATGGCGAGTACCCTCAACGGTGTTATCGCTTCTAAGACCATTTCCGGTAACCGCAACAGACCAATCTGTTCCCTTGAGTTTCTTGCCCAGGGTAGCTGTCACGTCCACCTCAGGTCCAAGCAACACCACCCTGAAGTTGTAGCCAGCAGCAATGACGCCGGCGGCTTCGGACCTGATGGCTGCATTAACGACTGCGGGGGGAAAGCCCCGAGCGATGAGTAAAGGGTGATTGGGAGGAAGACCGCTAGAGATACGGGTTAGAGTGTGGAAAAGGGGGGAAATGTTAGGGTACGAACGCGAGCACGACGTTCACCTCGCCACAGCCCCTTTTCTTGCCTGAAACGGGCTCCGAAGATGGGAGAGCAACGGCGCTACCGATGAGAGCAAGTGATGCGAGGAAGCTAAAAGCGACCATGTCGAATATATAAGATTGAATATAAAGCGAGTGAGATGTAGAGAAGAGGAGGCGGTGTGAGTGAGATTAGGTCAAGGTGTAGAATTGAGTAGATGCCTGGTGATAATAACAAAAACTCCAGTCGGCGTACTCGACGACGGAAAGTCTTCATATATATCAGGGGTGTTGTTGGCGGAGTTCGAAATGTATGCCGAATCTTAGAGCAGGGACAGAGTGATATCGCTAAAACGCATACACCGTCCTAGCGCGTCCGATAGGTAGAGCGCCTCTTTTGCAAGGAGACATGCGAACATTCTGGCCCCCGTGGCATGCGAATGTTCTGGCCCCCGTGGCATGCGAATGTTCTGGCCCCCATGGCATGCGAATGTTCTGGCCCCCGTGGCATGCGAGTCGAAAATCACTTGTAGCTGTCTGGTAGCGAGACATGAGTGAAGGGATTTCGATGCAGCGGGCGAGGAGGAGGGGTGTAGGACGCATAGTGAGGGCTTCACGGCTCGTTCTCTTGGTGCTGGGAGAGAGATTGATTGGATCAATATATCTAGAATGGCCAATAAGGTAGCGTTGATACGGGTTCCAGCCCCCAGGTCCGGAGCACCTGTGGCCGGATGCAAGAATATGTAAGTAAGTTTAAAACAATAGTTTCAAACGTCAATCACATTGATGTTCTATCTTAGTGCTTACTTAGTAACCTTACGTGAGCTAGTATTAAGGTTTTAGAATAGGGGCTAGTTATGTGGCTTAATTTGCTGTCACGGGACAGGGGCGCTGGCGGTGTAGAACTTAATTAACTGGCTAGTATACAAGACGTTGCACGAAAATCGAGAGGGTTGACGAGCTGAAGACTCAGTGTGGAAGCACGTGATCCCGGAATACCACAAAGCCCGAACGGTAGGAACACCAAGCCGAACCGTGACATAATTTGGCTGCTGACTGGCGTCTTGAGCGGCATCCGTCCGCAAACCTCGAAATTCACAGACCCCAAGGCATAGCGCAGCCGAAGCCAAGGCTCATCCACCTGCCTGGCACCAATCCTCCCACCTGCAACCTATACTAAGCGTTCCTGCAAGGCCCCAGGCATTACGTTCCAGGATCTGAGCTCTGGTTGATAGGGTGTTGGATGTTTCAGCGCGTCAAATTTCAATGCTGATGAAGACTTGCCTTAGACGGCGCGTATAGTTTTGCAAGAGGGCCCTAGAATCTGACCGCGCGAGGGCGTTAGCACGCCCACTCGTCGAGGGTGCGTACACGCCAAACTCCAAGCAGTTGTTCAAGGCAGTACTTCAACTCAAACTATATCGTGAATCTCGCACATGTGGTGTGCGAGGTGTCGTCTCCGAGCAGGTTTGGCATGACACAATTCATTGTCTTCCTTATCTTCCGGCCAGTGTAGGCGACCATTGCAGACATTTTGATAATCCCACTCAACCGCAGGTTCACGTTCGTTGGGGGCGGCTTTTGTTACCACGGTACCGGGCGAAGCACGTCCGGCGTCTACGATATGACATACGAAGACTCCCTCGCGTTCACCCACTGGGCCGGATGAATATATTCAATATCCGACGTCTGGACCCATATGCGGAGAAGACTGTTACGGTGGTTGAGGCTCGCCTAACCAGATCTCAGCCATGCTCCAGCCCGAAAAGTTGGCTCAGGCTAATTTCCGCCCTCCGGCTGCTGTCACCCTAGATGCAGTCGAGTTTATATGAAGCTGGCTGCACGGTAATGATATTGCCGGCGACGCTACGACTCGAAAGGCACGCACGAGCAGTCGTAAAGGAAGCAGGTCACAGACACTCAATTCGAAGAGGCAGACAAGCGCCTCCAAGAGCTCGTGGCTGTCTCCCCGAGATGCCCTCGCCTTTAGCATGGAGCACCCAGACATTTCCACTGCAAGTTCTGGAATTGGTGACATGTTACAGCTACTAAGCGAGAACAAGAAGTATCTCTTACGGTTCGGAAGTCGCGCAACGCAAGAGAAGCTCGATCCCGTGCTGGACAAGATGGAAGAGGAGTTCAAGTGGCTAAAGGACCCAAAGATAGCGATACGTTCCTGGCTATTCCACACTTACTCTGGCTGGGTGTACAACAAGATGAGGCATCTGGAAGAGAATCCCGCACTCGTCAAGCCGTCGCGATGCTGTTAATATGGCCACGCTGTTCCGCAAACTGCAACACATCTTGAACCGTTGCGTCCCGTCTCCACAATCGACGGATGGCGTCAGATTCTCGAGTTCAAAAAGAGGGCGTTCTCGACGTGCCGGAAGTTGGGCATCGTCCTGGTCGGTTCAGCTATTGATAACGACATTGTTGATTTGAACAGGTGCTGTGGTGTTGATCTTGACACGCCTCCCGGCTCACCCATGCATTAAGCACAGGCGCCTAATGACCAGGCATCAGGCCACAAAGCGGTAGAGACTGCTAAGCTTCCCCGCGGACCCCATAGCCCGTATGCCTTCAACGCTCAGCCAGGCGCTAAGCCGTCTCGCCTCAATCTCCCATCAAAAGAGCGCCAGACCAACTTGCTCAATATCTCGTCACTACGCCTCGCAGCCTTTATTAAGATCCATTTCGGATCCGTCAACTCAAGGTCGGCGAGTTCGCACTCACGTTCACTAAACTCGGCCAGCAGGTCACGGCCAAGGCCTATTGACTCTAAGGCTACTTACCTAACGCTCTTAGCGATGGACGCCGTACACCTCAACCGCCATTCAATGAACACGCCAATAAACACTGTATTATAACCCAAGGTTCCCAGCTACATCAAGGAGATCGGATGAGACTCAATCCACGCCAGTCGGATAAGTGGACCCATTGGTCTGCTGAAGAGATTGAGTACGGTCCTCCTACCTGAACTGGTCCATGGTGAAGTTCTACATCGGGTTTGTACGTCCGGCACATTCGACCCATGGGCGGCATACAGCAACCCCGGGCTCTGGTGACGATGGCGTAGCTCCTTGGCGATGAATATTGCGGTCCCTTCTAAGACGAGTTGAAGACATTCCGGAGCGAGGGCGGAAAGTTGCACCCAAGGTCTTCAGGATCTACAGCGCACCCTCTCAACTTCGCAAGCATACTGCATGAAGCCTGAGCCGCCAAGAACAGTTTTATCATTTTCAAATGAAGAGGTTCTGTCAAGTTGAAAGTAGGCAAAGCAAGTGGTGGGCCCACGGGCTCTGCCGAACATGCTTTCGATGGGGTGATGGTAATGTTACTTCATTTTGCTCATCTAAAGCATCTGACGCGCGAAACAGCTGTGTGGGAAGAAAGACTCCAAAAAGAACAACACAGCGAGGATGCGCGTCGAGAATTTGAGGCTGCTCAGGTGGCACGGTGGACTTTCGACTTTATTCTGACTGATGAGGTGGAAGGAGAGGCCGGCATAACCCTCAGCACCCTAGCAGAGAACGTCAGCACAACCCTTTACTTAACAAACGACCGCCCCGAGCTTGATGGACCAGAAGATTGGCTGGTCCGCTGCCAATCAGGAACACAGACCACAGTCATCATGCGCACAGCAAAGAGCGAGCACATGCTGGTAGTGTTGTATTGTAAGAGGAGATCGAAGTTCGCAGCAACGGCCTCCGGATCGAAACCGGGAAGGAGAGGCTGTTGACGCGTTTGAGGGGGACATCCCTCCTGTTGTGTATAGCAGGAAACCACCTAGCAGCGCGTCGGGATCCGGCCTGCGGCAGTTCAACGAGCAGGACCTCTCACAATAGTATTACTTCGACTAGATGTACAGGACAGGCACACTCGGGCAAGCCACGGATACAACGCACTGGTGAAGGCAGGCATGCCCGTGTCGCCCAACTCCATGGCTTTGAGAGGTGCACCAGGATGGTACAGAGGCACAGTGACAACGCTGGCAGCAAGCCTAGGAGGTGGCAACTCACATCTCTCATAGAAGAAGATGCCGAATCTAGGATGAACAAAGACGTAGGTAATCCCGAAGGTAGGTGTCAAGTTGCAACAGCAAACTTTGATGGTGGCGGTCATCATGATGATGAATTGTTGGAAGTGATTATATACTCGTGCTCACTACCCATCGCCACGACCAAAAGCTGGCTAGCTATATTGGTAGTACGACACAGATCTCCCCAAGGTAAGAGGTGAGTAGTATGATCATTTCGCCGGCCGTCCGCCGCCATCAAAAATCTATCTCCGTATCTCGCTGTACGTAACAAGGGAAAGCTCTGGATGATGGCACTTGTATCGCTTGAATATTGGTCATCTCCATTACAGGTAGGTTAAGCTATAGTAGTAGTCTTCCAAACATGAGATAACACACTGTCTCACTCTTCGTTTGCTCCCCTCGTTGTATGCGGACTTGCAGCATGGAGCACTCCCAATGCACTTCCTGACATACGGGAAGCACACATCACCCCTCCGTCAATCAAACCTCCACGAACCCAAAGCACTCAGATCATGAACCACATCAAACTTCCGGTTCCCTTCCGCCACTGTGACGATTCGTCTCCCATCCGTGAACTGTTCCCTAGGTCTCCCCTCCCGATCCACGAGCAACGCACCCCACCCGGCGTCCTCCGCCGCCAACACGTCTTTCTCTACCTCATCGCCCACGTACAGCATCTCAAAGCCCTCGGCCTCTGCTCCGTCCACCTTGGCGAATAGCTCAGTACCAATCTGCTTTGCGGCGTCGAAGATGGCCCGGTCCGGCTTCGAGGCCCCGACGTCGTAGCTTAGCACTACGAAGCTCACATCTTCTTCCCCTGCGGCATCGACGTCGGCATTCTGGGTGCTCAAGTCCGCGTCGCCAGCTCGGCGCGGGCTGACGATGAGGCCAAACGAGGAAAGGATGCCGGGGATGCGGTCGTCGGAGTTGGTGATGATGCCCACGATGGTGCGGTCCCAGGGCCAGCGTTGTAGGTCGGGATGGCCGGTCGTTCGAGACTTCATTTCGCGGAGCTGGGAAAAGAGCGGAAGCACGTCGGGGTAGAGGGCGTAACCCTCGGACGTGGAGAAGCGGGTTAAGAGGTCCGGGACAAGGCCATGGGGGAGGGGTGTATCGGCGGCGGGGAGGAAGGGGCGGAAGGTTTTGGTTATGACCTTTGAGGTGGTTAATGGAGATGAGCTGAGATGGTAGAGTAGGGTAGATTGAAGAGAGTGACTGAGATCCTAGGATTGAGACTCGTGATGTAGCAATGTACTGACTTCGAACAGAAGTGGCCGATGAGAAAGTCCGAAGTCTGGAGTTCCGGAGTTTAGAAATGTAGAGGTTTTCAAACCAACACAAGAAGAGATCTGAATATACCCTTGCCCACCACTCCGGCGCCGCCATGCCGACCTTCTTCCCATAATTGGGGTGCTCCTTTGACTCCTCTTTGAATGCTTGACTCATTCATCAGCGATTCCAATCATCTAGAACAATCGCTTAAAATCGTGTCTCATGTTTTCGTACCATTGCCGAACGAATTCTTTATTTCATCGTCACTGACGCCTACAGCAACTTTATATTTGCGGGCTATCTCTCCATATTGTGCGGCTACTGGACGCTTAGGCGTGAAGAGTGTTCCGAACGCGTCGAAAGCGAGCAGCAAGTTTTTCTTCGGTACGCCCTTGATTGCTGCTTTGTGCATCATACGCCGCAGTGGCTCTGAAAGCAAATGGATGATGGTAGCAGGGAGACTTCTCCCACTGAGCAGTAAGGCCTTGGCATGAGCGTATACGGCGCACGTGACTGGGCATAACTTTGCACTCTGTCAAAACACTGGGAGACAGAACTCGGGCTTCTCAGCAAGTTGTTTGACAAGGGACAGTTTCAAAAACGCAGGACATATCGTCTGGTTCTCCGCAATGCAGTAGAAAGCCGTACTATTACAATAGATGCACCGTGCATGCCATGCACATTAACGAAGCTTCCATCCCATATAAAGTCCCAAAGCCCAGTACCTATCCCATCCGGTATCTACAACCCTACTGCTTAACCTCATAGCTCCGCCTGAACATATCATCAATGCCCGTAAGGTAGTACGTCCCGGGGAAAATCGTCTCCGTCTCGCCAACCGGCTTATAGTCCTTCTTCAGATGCGCCTTCTCCCTTAGATTGCACATCTCATCATACACCTCCGGCTGCACCGTCCGCCTCGCGTCGAGCCTAGCGTGAATATCTAGCTTCTCCTTCATCTCGTCCACCGAACCCCGCACCTTGAGGCTGAAAAGACTGCTCGCGAGCCCCGATCCGTAGCTGAAGATGGCAACGCGCTTGCCCTGCAGATCGGCGGATGAGACGTTCGCGAGAACGGAGCACAGCGAGCCGTAGACAGACGCGCTGTACATGTTCCCGCACATGGTAGGTACCTGGATGCTCGGCTGCACGCGAGCAGCGAAGCGCTTCTTCGCGAGCGCCATGAAGGTCTTCTCGACGGTCTTATCGGTGAGCGAGGCGGTGTGATCGAGGTCCAGAATCTCACGGGGCACGCTAGAGAAGATCTCCGCGTCCGGGTTGTTGCGGTAGTCGTTGTAGAGGAGGCGGGCGTAGGATTTCGCGACCAGCTTGCACGTCGGCGCGTGGAAGCACATGTAGTCGAAGCGGTCGAGCGGGGTCTCGGGTTCCTTTTCGTCGTGCTCGGTCGTGCCGTTTGTCGCACTGCCGTTGAGCTGTTTCGCTAGTTTGGCTTCTCGCGCGTTATAGGCTTTGTAGCACGCGTCCACGGCCTCGGTGTAGCATCGGATTGAGAACTGCCCGTCTACGATCGGGTACTCGCTCGTGAGGTCTGGCTTGTAGAAGTCGTAGGCGTGCGTGATGTAGCTGCCTCTCAAGCCCGGCTCGAAGGCCAATGGCGCATCAGGCCCAATGAGCATGGCTACGCATCCTGCGCCGCCAGTCGGTCTCGCGTTGCCCTTCTTATAGAGCGCAATATCACCAGCCACGACAATGGCGTCGCGGCCGTCCCACGCGGAGGACTCGACCCAGTTGAGGGAGTTGAAGAGCGCGTTTGTGCCGCCGTAGCAAGCATTCACAGTGTCGACACCCTCAATGTTCGTGTTGCCGCTGGGCTCGAACAGCTGCATCAACACCGTCTTGACGGATTTGGATTTGTCGAGGAGGGTCTCGGTGCCTACTTCGAGGCGGCCGATCGAGTTCGGGTCGATTGAGTATTTGCGGAGGAGAGACGAAACGGTGGTCAGGGCGAGGGAGTAGATATCTGGGGTCGCGTGAGCGGAGAGTTCCTCGAGTTATAAGATGCTTTTTGGGAGACTCCTTACCTTCTCTGTCGTCGCAGAAACTCATCTTCGTCTGGCCGAGGCCAATGGTGTATTTACCCTGGGCGACGCCATCGAACTTTTCCAACTCGGCCTGGTCTACGCACTGGGAAGGAAAGTAAAGCTCCAAGGCCTTGATGCCGATGTTCTGCGGTCGAGACATTCTGTGTGGTGTAGCTGTGGTTTCTGCTCAGGTCTGTGGAAGGTTGAGCGAGGGACGGGATTGAAGCCAGGCGTTTTTGTCTGAGGATGCTAAATGTCTGTTGGAAGCGGTGAAGGCGACAGCATGGCGAGTCTAACCATCGAGGGGCTCAACAGAAGATTAATCTTAAGGAAAGGTCCGTGCGAGCTGCCAGGAACAGAACAAAACGTGGCTAGTTTTTCAGGGACAGCGTTGGACTGACAAGTCGCCGCCCCGCCAACCACTAGAGCGGTCAAAAGTAGAGGTTGCGTGTCTGTAACGCTGATGCTGGGGCTTGAGCCGGCAAGTTTTAATTCAACAAGCCCTGTCAACGGCTGCTCAGCCACATCTCTGACGTTTGACAGCTGCCAGGGGCAACGCGCTCCAGTGCGGCTTTCGCTGAAGTGTGAGTGCACGGCAGTCTCGAAAACCGGGAATGGCAGCCGGCGAAGGCGAATATGGATGTTATGTCAACCAGTAGAGTCGGCCACCAGGCAGTCCTCGCCAGCTAGAGCCGCTTGGCTGACCCCCTTGTATTCCTCGTACGATAGTCACGTGAAGCGATCTCTGAAGAGTTAGCCTCAAGTAAGGCACAGCGGCAATCATGGAGCCCCATGGCAGCTCATATTGCACAGCGGTCTGAGTGTTGTGGAAAACTACCTAGCTAAAATAGCAAAGGGAAACGGCGCGTCACACTAAGACATATGTTGTATGAACATGAACCGCCGCTGCCGTTAGTGCGCCGGTGAAATCGTCACCATATCCTGCCCCTAAAGTTTCCTCAAGGCTTATACTGAACGCCTCTTCCAAGTGCCGAGACCGCCTGAACGCCAATAGCGAGATTGTACACCGATCGCCGGATATATACCCACGTGCACGAACAAGAGAGATGATAGAAAGGGCAGGTAGAGCAAAACATAACAAGGACACCGAACACAAATCCTTACGTGCTTGACCACTGACAGTGACAAGCACCATAGGGGTCTTTTCTTTTTTCAAACAGGGACCTCTTCACTTCGGAAGCACCACCAGTTGTCGCTGGCCGCGTTTCCACAACCGAAGCGCCTGGATAAAGAGGGTCTTCCTCTTCAAGTTCTACGATTATAGGTTTCTCATTGCTGTCGGCGTTCGGCACCACCTTGCCATTGTCTAGAACACGCCATTGCTGGCAGTAGGGGAAGTCTGGATTATTGGGTAGGCGGCGCTCTTCGATCTTGACGACGCGAGGAAACTCTGGTAGCTTTTCGTAGCGGCGCTCCATCGCCGGTCTGGAAATTGCCGCATATTCCGTGGGTATGGCGCTCGCCAGGCCCGAGCGGAAGCGTGTATAGTATGAATATGCGTGCCCCGATGGGACGGCGGCGACTGTGTCGGAGGATGTGGGTGTTGGCGATGATGTGGACGTTGTCTGCGGCGACGTTGCCAGGGTGGTCGGATAGCTAGATGAGCTAGCGGCGGCGGCGGAGGCAACGGCAGCAGCAGCAGACGAGGAGGATGCAGCCGCAGCAGTGTCCTCGTTAACATAGATGAAGCCTTCGATGAAAGTATCATTCCAGACGCAGAACCATGGTAAGTCTCCAACCTGCACTTCGCGTCTGCCCCGAAAGCCTGGAGGCACTTCGAACTCACTCTCGCTGGCGGATGTGGAGTCTCTTCTCTTCATACTTTCTAGACCTAGAAAGTCATCTTTAGCCACTACCACTATTTTGTCGTATCGCGCGGAGAAGTGATATGCTGGTCCCTTGCTCGGGTCATCATAATCATGGACAAGGACAAGTCGTTGCACGTCGAATTGTGGCGGCTGCATGCCGTATCTAAGAGTGGCGTCATCCGGGTACATCGGGGAAATGCAGGCTTCTTTGTGAGGCTTCCCAGGCCTCTGGTCGAGACTCAAGCGGAGAGGAGGGCCATGCATCTTGCAGGACCAAGCGCTTCGCTGCCCCTCAAGTGGAAGGCAACCATTCAAGCTCGATTCCGGATCGCCGAGTGGAAGAGCATAGGTAGTGTGTGTTGGTAGAGGAGCAAGGCCTGTTGGCGTCGCAATAGTCGAAGCGTCGTACATAGACGCTGTGCTGTATACAGTCGTCACAACCGCAGCCCTGTTTCGTAACGTGAGCGAGCGGCTTCTCAGAACGGACTTATCGACTTACGCAGAGCTAGCAGCAGCCAAGCGCGCGTTCTCTCTAGCCAACAATCCTCCAATGGCTCCACCAAGGATCACGGCAAGGACAAACACAACAACGAATCCCAATGCAATTGCCCATAGCGGTATCTTCCCTCCAAAGAATCTTGTCTTCCTCTTCTCCTTCCACGTTTTCTCACTCCACGACTTTTCTGAGCTGCTGAAACTTGGCGGCTCTGAAAGTGGGAGACTAGGGCTTCTGTTTAGCTGATCGGCTCCATGGCCATTGTTTGGCCGTATGAGAGTAGTTTGAGAATCTGGAGAATCTAGGTTGCCTAGCGCGATGCTCTCCTGTGGTGTCGCGGGTTGGGTCATTGGAACCACCGGGCTCGCTGGCCCTTGTTCTGGATATTTAGAGTACGGAGGCAACTGTTCAGTGTGTCCGTCCAATCCCATGAGGCCCTGGTCTTCGCCATCCGGGCCTATCTGTCTATGGTATCCGGTACTCATACCAGGAAAGCCGACTGGTATTAACTGTGGTGCAGGGCTGGTAGTCTCTTCCGAGTCCTCTAATACGTTCTGTGGATACAGAGCGTATGGATGTGTCGGGCGATGATGTCCTGACTGAGTCCGCGAAGGCGCTCTAATTGTTGATGAGGTCGCTCCACTCACTGAGCGGGCCATCCCAGTATCTTGTGGGTACATGCCGTATGGATGACTCGGACCGGACGGCAGAGTGCTGTGCGAGCGTGCCGTCGTTGCAAAAGATGAGGTGGAGGCGAGTGATGCATGGCGCACCACAGCGGGCGTTGTGGTTCCGTGAGAGTATATGCTTGGTATTGGGCCAGGCAACGGGGCATGGACTCCCTCATACTGAACCGCCAACGGGTCCTGGTTGGGATGACCCTTACTCGTACTACTTCTGGACGGAATATGAGGTCGTGATTTGGTCTCTCCCGACGCAATGCCCGATATTGGCTCTTCTATCGACATGCGCTCGAGTGTTGGGCTGTCTGCGAACGTTGAAAATTGTCGAGATTGGTCCGGCCGGAACCCATCCGCTACGCTGAACTCCGGCTCGAGAGGATCATTGTCGATAGCGAACTCATCGTCGAAGACATTGGGGTTCTCTGACGCCGGTGTTCCTTGTTGATCATGGCGAGGCTGTCTGTCCATTGCGCGTGGAGCCCCTCAGAGGGCGGTTGACTGCGGAACGGTCGCGCTGGCCGTGTACTTCTCCCCGTACGCCCTGCTGGTGTTTCGTAGCTCGTGACTCTGCGTAAGAGGTTTAGGAACGCTGAACGATTGTGATTGCTATTGTGGCTGTAAGACGAGCGGAGTGAGCAATGATGGGGCCAAGGAGAGGGCCGCAACACAAGGAGCGGCCAGTGTTTCGGGCACCGGGAGAGGGTCCAATTACCGTGCGAAGCCGAGCATCAGAACATGCTTGGAACCTTAAACGGCCGCACAAAACTCCACGGCAAAGGTACAACGGGCCTATCCAGCTCGGGTGATAGAGGCTTCGGTGAGAGGGCTCTGCAAATGGTCCTGGGATGATAACTAACCGATTGTCACGACATCCCAGAAGGGCGGCAAACTAAATTTAGACGCCGGCCCGCCCCATTGAGCATCCGAGTTTCAACTGAAGACTGTGCGTGCGGAACAGCCGACAACACCACTGCCAGTGGCACCTGCAGCCTTCTTGGCCGCTCCGCTCATGGCGGACAGGTCGATGTTCACGTGACTGATGCACGTGCTGAGCACCGGAAAACGGACACACGACAGCGCCGAGCCGAGGCAAGTTGATGACGTTAATGGAGTTGTGATGCGTCCACTGAAGCCGCGCAGAGGACACTTGGACGGCGCGGCGACGGGTACCTAGTTGGTGTTGACGGAGGATGGGGCATGTTAGATATCGTTCATAGCTACTTCTCTCCTCTCCTTCTCTTCTCCGGCGCAGTTGCTTTCACCCAATAGAGCATAGACAAGCATCGTTAGACCTCATACCCCACCACCATGGACGGCTCACCCTCCACTATCGCGAAGTTCCTCATCCTCAAATCGCCTTTCATCTTGAAAACAGCGCTGTTTCACTCCCTATGGCTGTCATCAACGTCCACCAAATGGGATCTCCGTACCGAGCTTACCATTAAGATCATACGAGAGGTGCTCAATGGGGAGCCATGGTCAATATCAAAGCAACAAAAGGGGACGCTGAAGGACCCGGGGGTAAAAGGGAGGATGTGGATAAGCCGGGTCACAATGCCCGCGCCAACGGAAGACGACTTGCGCCAGGCTCTCTTCAAGGCTATCGATGATATGAAGGAGGGCGACGAGACATATACGCGACCAACTCTCGAGCCCGTAGAGGCAGAATGGACCGGCTACCGCGCCAACGTCGCCAAGGACGCGCCCGAGCCCTCGATATCCGAAGAAGAAAAGTATCAGAATATCATGAAGGAGGTGACAAGCGACGTAACCATCCTCTGCTTCCACGGCGGCGCCTACTATCTCATGGACCCCGCCTCGCACCGACAAGCCACATCCAAATACGCCCATCTAACCGGCGGCCGCGCCTACTCCGTCCGCTACCGCCTCGCGCCGCAGAACCCCTTCCCCGCCGCGCTGCTCGACGCGCTGGTCTCCTACCTCTCCCTCCTCTACCCACCCCCCGGCGCGCTCCACTCGCCCGTCAAGCCCTCGCACATCGTCTTCGCCGGCGACAGCGCAGGCGCGCATCTCTCTGCCTCCCTGCTGCAACTCCTGCTCCAGTTCCACCGCTCCTCACCCAACCGCACCCCGACCGTCACGTTCCACGGCCGCGAAGTCGAGCTCCCGCTTCCCGCAGGCCTCGCCCTCAACTCACCCTGGCTCGACATCACGCGCGCCCTGCCCAGCATAGAGAACAACGCACAGTATGACTACCTACCCCCGCCCTCCCAATCCGCCGACGTCAAGTTCCCGCCCTGCCCGCTCTGGCCGACCGACCCGCCGCGCGCGGAACTCTACTGCGACGGCAGCGCGATGTGCCACCCGCTCGTGTCACCATTGGCCGCGAAAAGCTGGGAAGGCAGTCCGCCAATCTTCATGGTGTGCGGCGAGGAGATGCTAGCGGATGAGGGGAAGGTGTTTGCGCAGCGGGCGGCGCGGCAGGGGGTCACGGTTGTGTGGGAGCAGTATGAGGCGATGCCGCACTGTTTTGCGCTGATGTTGGAGGGGTTGCAGGGCGGGAGGATGTGTGTGGCGAGTTATTGCAAGTTTATTGGGGATGTGGTCAGGGAGCCGGGGGATGTGAAGACGGAGGGGTGGTTTGTTACGGCGAAGAAATTGGACAGAAAGCCTGTGGATGTGGCTAAGTTAATTGAGCTAACGGACGAAGAGGTTGCGAGGCTGATGAATGAGGTTAAAAAGAGGAAGATTATGGGATTGGAGGGCGAGGCGAAGGCACAGCCACGGTTGTAGAAGGTAGACATGCATTTGGGGAGAATATACCCGGCTGGCATACATTGCATCTAGTTTTGATATTTGGTAGACCACTTTACGAGCTTGCAGTTGGTAGAGTTGATTAATATAATTTCATCCAAGCTATCAAGCTAGGAGTATCGCCTTTCCGTGCAACCTTTTTGCATTCGCCTTCTCATGACCGTGAAAACGCTTACAAACCCTGTAACGGATACGGTGCCACGCGACCCTCAAAAGAAAGCACACCACCCAATATACATAGACGCCAGGTTCTTCGGATCCCTCGCCATCTGTATCAGCGCCTCCACATACCCCTCCACGCTTAACGGCACGCTCTCCCCTCTTAATAGGCCCGCCAGCTTCCCCCTCACGCTCTCCAGCACCTCCTGCGGAGTATCCGGCACACCAGGCGTCGGCCGCTTCTTCTTGCCGATAAAGTCCGTTGTCGGGTCATACACAAACGTCTCCAGAATTGTCATCAGCGTATCCTCATTCTGTCTCAGAATCCCCAGCGTGAGCTCCGCAGCCGTGCGGAAGGGTCCCTCGTAGCCGTACGCGCCCATCGCATCGACCATATTGTGCGTTAGCCGGAAGGGGACAACCTCGGGCTTCTCGAACGTCAGGCCCTTGTCGAAGAGGCAGTTGAAGTCAACGTGCAGGATGCCGCCTGTCCCCTCTTCCAGGAGGAGATTCTCGCCGTGGCGATCACCGAGGCCGAGCACGTGGCCGACGATGGACATGACGGCGCAGGAGCGTGTGTAACGGAGGCGTGCTTTGAACCAGTCGTCTGGCTCCGGGAAGGTCTCGATGAACCACTCGTACAGCACGGGGAAGAAGAGCTTGAGAATGGTGTCTGTGAAGATAGAGATGTTCTCTGGAGCAGCGATTGATTCGTTAAGCAGCGTCCTGATGCGGTTGTAGTCGATTGCCACGCTCTTCTGCTTGTAGAGTTTGATGATGATATCACGCATCGGCTTGAGGTTGTCGACCCATTCGATGGTTCCGCACTCTTCATTGAGCGGCGTGACGCCGTAGGTCTTGATATAGAGCCGCCGCTTGCTCGCCTCGACGTCTTTCTGCAGACCTCGGTTGATCATGGCATTGAACTCCATGAGACGCTGATCCTTACGGAGATCATCCTTTGGCTTGCACAGGAGTCCATAGCTGTTCCCATCCGAGCCCCGGACTACGAGTTTACGAGGCCGTTGCAGGGAGGTCAAGACAAGAACGTCGTCCGAGAAGGAAGATATCGTAATGTTGCCACCAGAGAAGGCCTTGTGTTGCCGGACGTGCGGGCTGTCGTGTACGGTCGGGAGAGTCGCAGTCATTGTCGCCTCTATCGGCACTACAAGCGGGCATGGAGCAAGCTTGTGGTTGAAACCAAGGTCTCTGGATAGGCTCACATGACTTGATCTTCCATCGACTACAGCTTCGCAGGCGCGCAGAAGCTGATCTGATAGCTTTTGGCCATGTGTGATCATGGCCCTCATGTCGAAAGCGGAGCCCTCCGCCTTGTTCTTCTTCAGTTTGTTGAGCACGGAAAGTCCTCGACTTGATCGATCTGCAGCAGAAGACTTCACCACGGCAAGGATGTACCAAAGCGCCTGTTGAGGGTGCGCCGACGCGACCTTGATGATAATTGAGAACAAGACTTCCCACACTTTTGCGTTTGGATGACTGATGCGTGTGATGATTTGGGGAAACGCCGTGTAGAATATGTACCCTGGCAGTCGCTCGGCATATTTACGTATCTGCCGATGCATTGCATCGAGGTTCCTGATTTGCATGGCTACAATGTCTGCCTCAGCGGACACGGGATGTTGAGTAGCTTGATGTACATCCATTCCGAGATCGAGCCATACAGTTAGCAATCGCGGAATGGTTTGATAGTAGTATTTCGCCCCGAAGCACATCGATCTGATGAAATTGTCAACCACTAGCTTGGCTGTTTCGCCTGAACGGAAACTGATGTTCTGCTTGCCTCGAGGCATTGCCTTCTCCGATTGCAGGAGCTTGTTATAGTGCTTGCCAAGGTAGTAGTGGCCTTTCTCCCATCTGGAGTGCGTCTGCACGGCGAGCTGGTACTTGCGGATGATTGTTGCAGATGGTGTTTGGCCGGATGCATCAAGCCACTTGGCCAGCAGTACATGTGCTCGGGCAGCCAGGAAGTTCTGGAACTTCTCTTTGTCTCCGGACGTACTCATACTTTCCGTAACGGATCCAAGATCGTGGGATTGGAAAGCATTCGCAGCGATGGCTCCCTCGAGGCTTTGTATTGCTTTCCTATGGTGGCCTTCTTTCCAAAGGAGTCGAGCGTGCTCAATTCTGGCGGCATCATCGCCAAGTTGCGTTGCGTGTAATACGGCATTATGAGCTGTGTTGATGATGTCCGACTTACGTGCTAACTTTGAAGTCGTCAGCCACGACGACGCTAGGTCCATTTTACTGAACTCCAGGCTTGAATGCTGCATCGTGGCACGCCGAATGCCGAGGAGATACTGCTTATCAGAGGTGTAGGTACCTAACGCTTCTAGCCGCCTGTCGAGCGTGCCAAGCATGACCTCTCGGTCCATCCTCAAAGGTGAGGGGAGTCCACTGATAGCCTCCATCTCGTAGAGTGCGTGCAGCTTGAGTAGCTGGTCATGACATGCCTGTACAGACGACGTTGTTGATGGCGAAAGATTCCGTGCCACCTTCTGGCGAAGAGCACTTATCGTTGAGAGGAAATCGTCATGCTTGTTTTGACGAAGGGCTAGTAAAGCTGTCCCAACACCGACGTTGAAGTGCTCCGATGGCCAGGCAGAACCTGCATCGATGGCATCTTCGAGGAAACGCCATTTGTCGGTAACCCACGAGGCTTCCGAAGCGAATGGTAGTAACTGTGGCAGATTGCTTGCAGAACCTGCCCGGAAGTTGTTGGCATATCGTAACAAGACGTCGTACTGACCAGCTTCTTTCAAGCACGTAAGGAGGTTGACCTGAATTTCTGCATCATCAGGCTTTTCAGCAAGCTCAAGCTCATACCAGCTCTGCGCGGCGGCCCAACGTCCGGCTTTCTGATGCTCTAGTACCTGCTGTTCCGGTCCAAGAACGTGCAAGTGTGCGGAGATACCCTCAATGCCGTCGGGCTCTTCTATCTGAGCGTAGATGTCTTGGAGATACTGATACAATGCTTCGTCTTTCTGCTGCCGTTGTGTGGCCGGTGTCTTCTCACGTTCCTGGCGGATATACTGCTCCCAGTGGAAAAGAGCCCGAGCATAAGACCGGCACTCGACAGCGCGATGCGAAATGACTTCTGCTGGAATCCCTTGTAGTACTAGCTCAACGCGGCTGATCTGCGCGGTATCGCAGATGTCATCTGAATCTGAAGTGGGTTCACTACGTCGACCGCTGGAAGACTTCGAATCGTTGAAGGTACCGCGCTTTTCTTGTAGCCACCTGGAGAGGTAATCGAGGACTCGGAAGACGCTCTCGCTGCACTGGCGGATGGTCTCGGTCTCAAATGCCGTCCCGTTCATTTCTTGCTTTAAAACAATCAGCAGTTCTAGCCTAACACCCAACGCTTCGTCGTTGTCGCCGCCAAGAATGACATTGGCGGCTGCAAAGGGAAGCATGAAGCTGGCTATGGACAGATCGTAGCCTTTGATGACTCGTGCAAGGACGGAAAAGATTCTCTGCGCGTTGTGACCTTTTCCTCTCTGCAGCAAATCATAGACGAATGTCCGTAGCCAGCTGCCATGGCTCATCTCGGCATTGAAGATGGGGAATTTCTGCACAACATACTCGAGCTGATTGTTGTTTGTGACCATGTATCTTGAAGAGAGGAAGGGCGTCAGCGTGCTGCGGACAGCCTCTGGCATTTCCAGCCAACGCTGATGGGGTAAGGAGCTGGCTTGAGAGCTTCGAGTTCGTTGTGTTGCAACTATGCCATACCCACAGTATTTGAGCATTTCCTGCATGGTATATGCCAGAAAGCCCTGCGACTTAGCATTGCTCGCAGAACGAAAGGCAGGAACCAGTACATGGGGCAGAAGAACGGCTGAGAAGTCGATAATTTCATCAGCCCGTTCGAAGTTCGAAAGAACAAGTGTATCCTGCTTCTCTCTCGCAGCCTCCACTCTGTAGGGGTTCAAGCAACCCACAAGGCCTAGGCATTGCGAGCAGAGGTCGATAATTGCTGAGTGATTCTCGTTGAACCTGACAACGGCATCAAGCAAAGAGCGTAGCAGTTGGGCTACAACTGGATTTGGCTGCTGACTCACGCTGGTTTCGTGAATGAAGCGTTGGTTGTCAACAAGGAATGGAACGAGTTCCCGGAGAGCTTGTTCCACTACTGCTGAGCTCTCATCCTCACACCGCTGACTGAACGCAGAGAAGATCGTCGCGGGATCCATAAGCGCTTTAAGTCGTGCAATCTCCGCGCGGTGCTTTGACAGCAGTGGTACATCTGGCAGCAGAGGCAAGGTGCCAATGCGCTCCTGGAAGAACACATTGTGAGCCTTGAGTAGGTTCGACAACATGTCGTAAGTTTTACGCTGCATAGCGGCGTTCAGAGAGGACCAATGCTGTGCAATCATGGCAAAAGTATGGTCGATCAGGGCGTCAACGTCCTCTTCCTCAGCAACGCTCATGAGCGCGACCCAAGCGGAGAATGCTGCATAGCGTAGCTTATCATCTTCCATTGCAGACTGGAGGCAAGTCCGGATCTGGGGTAGGGCGACACTAACATGCGTCTTCGCCAAGGCGGTCATGGCTTCAATAGCGCGTAAACATCGCACTCTCTCGGAAGCTGGATGAGGTTCGCGAGAATTATCGATTACCTCCGAAAAATGAGCCATCATGCCCAGGATATGACTCTCAAAGAAGGTCGACACTAATCGAGACTGCTTCGAGGCGGCTTTCGATTGTCCGTTCTTCCGTTCGGAGATTGTTGCCAATGTTTGTATAGCCTGGCGGACCCGAGACTTCTTCGATGTGTCTTCTTCGTCCGCAGCTTTGAGGATTTCGCAAGCTATGAGTACAGGCTCGAGCTCAATCAAACCTGATAAGTCGTCCTTCAAGCCCGGAGCAGCCTCGCACAGCAAGTCCATTGTATACCTCTCGCTGTCTGGTGATGACTGCAGCAAAAGGAGCGCCACAATCGCTGCGAGGTTTTTGCGAGGTTGGGTGCATATGTCTTGCACAGAGGTAGCCGGGCCTCTGGCAGACGCTATCCTTTGCAGAACATCGTGTTTCTTCGTAAGAACAAGGTATGGCAAAGTATCAGTTTGCGTTAGGAGCAGTAGCTGTGTAACGCTCACTTCGAGGAAATCGGACAACTCTTGAGCTTTCTGTGGCCGGGTATTAAGGTCTTTGACTACTGTTATTCCGACGCTGCGCCAGAAAGGCTTGAGCAAGTCGGCAGGTTGGCAGCCTAAGACCGCTGAGATGTGACACAACTGGTTGAAGGCTACGCCGCTTATGAGTGAGTTCGTATGGCCAAGGTATTCAACTAGGCTGAGCAGCACGATGTTCAGCTCCTCATGCCCACAAGCGAGAGCTACCTGGGCGTATGCGAGTACCAAAGCTTCTTGGCTAACGACCTGATTCATTTCCGATAGAGTTTTCAGGAACTCAAGCGCGAAGATGCGGTTCTGTCGTCGGACGTCGTCTTGGACTTCGTTCCGGAGGAAAGCCGTCAGGGCGCGGCCGGCGGCAATGCGCAGTTCTCTCAACGAGCTATGGAAGGACCTTAAACACCATTGTCCCAACTGGGAGTTGGCCAAGTCGAGCATTTCCGGATTCGATGTATGGTTGATGATTCTACGGATCGCTATCGTAGCGAGGATTCTAGGCTTCTTAGACCGCTGAAAGTCTGTTGACTTCATAATCTCAGATAGAAGCAACATGATCTCATTCCAGTCTCGTACATTGGACCCACCGTCCCAAGTCAAGGCTGGTCGGTCAACTGGGGCTCCAGGCAGGCAATCGCACACGGTGCAGTTCTTCTCGGCAACTGTTCCAATGCTACTGTGGGTACGCTGCAGACTACCACTACCACCACAGGGCAAGTAGCCTATGATAGTCAAAGCTTTGCACTGCTCTTCGCACTGCTCTTTCTCGGCCAACTCAGAGTAATGCTGGAGTGCTTCTTGATGCAACCCGGTCAAGTCATCTGTCGACTGCCTCTTGAAGAGCTGGCAAAGCTCGGCGAGCTTGGACTTGTAGGAACCCTGTGCAGAAGGTTGGCTCAGGTTACTTCCAACGGTCCTCTGCCGTTTAGCCGGCCTCTCTTGATCTTGCGGTGATACTAGCGTGTGGCTGAACACGGCAGATGCATCATTTGCCAGAGCAGCATCATCAATCGGAAGACTGCTTTGAGAAGCAAGCACCGTGCAGAGTGAGCGGGCTGAGTCTGACAATCGGTCCATATCGATGGCGGGCATAATCCACAAGCATAGGATTACCTAGAACGTGTCAGTCATGATTGCTCTTAAGCATAACCATCTGACTTGCGTACCTGTAGCTCCTTCGTGAGCTCACCAAAGCTTCGCTCGTCATGCACGACCTCAAAGATCGCGGAATGGAGGTACTCCTCAACGGTGTTTGAGACGCAGCTGCGGCTTCGAGCCGTCCCTACTACACGTACAAGGAGCCACACGAATTCTCCCTGTACTCCTTTGTAACTTGGTGATCGGGCGCACATCTGCAGTATGCCGGTCAAACAACGGGAGACCAGTACAGCAGCTCGATGTGATGTACCTCCACGTCCAGCAGTGCCAAGCGCGGGCAGACAGGTCATCTTCAAGCATCGTATGAATGCTAAAACTAAACATTCGCTCTCTGGGTACGACTCGAACATGTTCAACGTCCTTGACAAGGACCACAAACGATCGCAGCGATCGAGCAGCCATGCCCGAAGACGCTGACAAGAAATCTCTGTCGCAGAGCCAGCTTCACCTCTTTCGTGTTGAGAATGGACAGCTTTGATTAGTTCTAGTGCTACGATTGTAGCTTGTAAGGGAGAGACCAGGTTTATTTGGCATGCTTGTGGAAGAGCAACAGGTAGTTGTTTATCTGGCCATAGCCTAGAAATTCCTGTAGGCGGCGGCAAGATAACCTGTGCTGACTTGCAGGACGTTCTAGACGACGCTTGTACAGCTTTTAGGCGGGAAATGACCTCTAGATAGGTATAAGTATAGCAATGTGATTGAAACAGGCGGAACATGCTCACCATCCACGCAAGACTGGTACAAATGCAATATGCTGGCAGCGTCTTGCCACGGCCTTCCTTTTTCGGACAAAGTACCAATGCATAGCGATAGAAGACTTCCTATACTCTCTTGAAGAGCGTTCGATACGGATTTTCCCAGTAGGGATAGTAGCTTGGGAAATAGCCACAGAAGAAGGGGAACCGGTGTACCGTGGTTGCCGGCAGGTTCGACAAAGAGCAGTATCTTGGGATACCGTTGAATGACGAGGGTAATCACGGCGATGCTCTTGATCGCCTGCGGGACTAGCAGCTCCTGTGCGAAAGGGTTTTCCTTATGGAGGACATCAAGGCCCGCTTCCGCAATGACATGGATAAGTCTAGCGTTGATATGCGCGTCGGACTCTTCCGCAGCTGGGTCGTTGAGGTACTCTTGCAGGAGCTTGCCAAAGAGTGCTCTGTTCTCCGGTTCTCGTCGAGCATTGGCATTAGATTGATGTTGGACGATCTGAGCTGCGATGGTCGATGGTGGAGGGATGCCATTTGCGCTTAGTCCGTTCGTAACCGCATGTTGGGTCAGCTCCTTCTGTCTCCTCATCCTAGGCAGGGAGCATTATCATCGTAGCCTGCTGGACATGGTTGGAGTTGCCAGTATTGATGTGGGGATGAGGCACGCGCTTGCCACCTA